ATCCCCTAGCTATCATTTTTACCAATAAATCTATTGTATACAAAAATCTAATCTCATTTATAAAGTTTTTTGGCAATACCCATAACATGCTCTATCTATCATCCTAGAAAAGCATCAGATTAGTTAAAATTATAACTACTAGACGAATGTAAAACATTGAAGGGGCGAGCACGAGCATACACTGACTTGCATGCATGGCCCATTGGAAGACAATTTTATAGCTTGCTCTTCTACCTTTATTATTAGCAAAGAACCTCAGCTGCAATTTAAACATAATTTAACTGTATAGCTAAGCACAGTACTGCTATAGGCCTTCTTTTCTTTGACTTTGAGCCAAATCTTTTAGGAAGTGTCTAGAGCTCCGGTAACCGGACATAGTATGCAGTGCTAGAGCTCCGGTAATAGGGGCGTTGCCCCTATATACTGGGGCTACGCCCCAGTATTAATAATACACTGATTTATATTATAGAAACCGAGTATAAATACAACAACCAGCGTTGATGATGCAGCAGGGTCGTGGTGGTGCAGTGGAGAGGCTGGTGTGGATTGCACGGATATGGTTAGGGGTTCGAATCCGATCAGGACTACCGAGTAAAACTATGCTGCAGTTTTTGATTTTTTTTTCTTTTTTAAAAATATCTTTTTTGCAATTTTTTCTTTTTAGCTTTTTTTGGGTCAAGAAATAGCACCCTCTCGTACAACTTAGCCTCCGGGGTCGTAGGGTTGGGATTGGGGTTTAGTGTTTAGTTTTTAGAGCACCCTCTCGTACATCTTAGCCTCCGGGGTCGTAGGGTTGGGATTGGGGTTTAGTGTTTAGTTTTTAGAGCACCCTCTCGTACATCTTAGCCTCCGGGGTCGTAGGGTTGGGATTGGGGTTTAGTGTTTAGTTTTTAGAGCACCCTCTCGTACATCTTAGCTACCGGGATCGTAGGGTTTTGGGGCTAGGGTTTAGTGTTTCTTGATAAAAAGACTAAGTTCCATTTTGCACTATTGCGCATGCGCACAAGCTGTTTTACGGAGAAAAACGGACTGCCGGAGCTCTAGCATTGCAAACTACGTCCGGTTACCGGAGCTGTAGACACAGCCAATTTTTTATTAGCTTTGGCTATTTTCACACTTAAAAAAATCAAAATTATTGAAGCTTTTATTCTGTCATTCAACCATAAGTAAAAAGACCTTTAAGATGGGTATAAGTATCTTGGAATTTTGGAGAAGGATGATATAATGGTCATGCAGATGAAGGAGAAAGTTAGACGTGAATATGTTAGGACATCAATGTGGCCACCATATGAAGCAGCTAATGGTGGACTCCACCCATTTTTACCTCTTTCCTGAAGGCCAGTTTTGTCAATCAATTGTAGTACTTCATCTTTTAATCCTCTCCAACATGCTTCATGCAATGGAGTGCTGGTATTCTCATACCAGAGAGGATCATAAATATCTATATAATATATCATAAATAAAGTTAATAATAATAATAATTACCAATAGGAGAATCATGAAGCTTCTTTAATTCATTATCTGGCAACTATAAAAATAAAATAATTATGATTATAATTCTTAGTTATTGACATACCTGCTTCTTTTTATGTACATATTTATGACAAGTAATTTTTATGATTCCAATCTCAGCCAATGAATGACACTGTTGATTGGTTAATGGAAAAAGAATAGAATAAAGAAAATCAGGAATGGAATATTTTAATCCCATGCAGCCATCATCAATCGTACAAAAATAGATTTATATTGAGGAACTTCAAGTGCTTCAGCAATTAGCTTGTGAAAGAAATGGCAACCTTAGCAATCATTACTTTAGTGCCTGGAACATCAGAAAGACCAAACTCAATTGAGTCTGCAATTTGAACTGCTTGAGTATTGTTATTTTTAAAATAATCTTTTAATTTCTCACGATATGTAGACCACATTCTCTGTAAATCTCTCTCATCAGTAATGAAAGTATTGACTAACTTGACGACAAGTTCAAAATTAAACTACGAAACATTTTTTCAAGTACTCTAAACAGCTGCTTCATCGTTTTAATGGGGTCAAACTCTTTTTTCATTGGCTCAATCACTTCGTATTTTTGAAAACGTGGAGTGAGTAAAAGTGCAATGTAATGTTGAACAAAATCGATAACTTCTGAGACGTCAATAGAATGGAAGGACTTCTCTGTATGATACATATTATCAAGGTAAACTTCTTAAAGGTCTCCAATCATTCGTGTCAGGTTATTTGGTGAATATTCAATTGATTTCTTCTTAATGTAAATGACTGAAGACTCAGATTGAGGTGAAGTAGGAACTGGTAGCTCAACAGTTGGAGTAGCTTCTGAAATAGCAAATAAAAATGATTATACATTATTGCATAATATTAACCTTTAGAAGGTGAAGTATGAACTGGTGATGTAGTAGCCTCTCCGCTATTAGTAAGATTAATGGTAAATATATTCTTTTGCTATTTCATCAGCTAGAGCTGGTCAGCTGGATCAGCTCCTCCACTATTACACAGCATTCTTAATGTAGGGACACCATGACTCTTATAGTCATAGTCCTTCTTTAACTAGCAATCAAATACTTTCCGTGGACAAGTTCTTGGAGGCTTGCTCTCTGCTTCGATCTCATCTATATTATTAGTGCTGATTCCTAACAGAATACCAATAGAGTCCCAGCGTCCCAAAAGAACACCGGCCAGCTTTTTCCCATACCAGTTGAAAATCAGTAATATCTATCATTAATAATACTAATAAAACAATTATTATGAATATCTACTCACTAAGTTCTCTGTCAAAGGCTCTTTTCAGCTCCTCAGGTTTGGTTGACATTTCACTTCAGTTTGGAATGCCACTGAGCCCTGCCGCCCAAAATTTAACTACACTACTGCAGTGGTGCTCCAGTCTACATAGTACATGATGGAGAGAGGCCAACTGAAGCAGTAGATGCAACCAATTCAGTACTTGTATTTCTTAGTAATATTTCTTCTACTCCTCCAGCAATTATTTATGATGACTGCAGCATCTTCTGCGAGCCTAACAAGAAGAATATTAATTTTGTTTGTAGCTGAACAAGAGAGTAACTATAACAATGAACTGTCTGTTTTATGTCTTTAACATAATGTTTAGGCAATCATATCTTCAAAACAAAGAAAGTTCTGAAGTGATTTTTATTTTAGGCAACCATAATCCTAAAGTTCTATTATATTATCTTCGCGGCTTTGGGGCGTGCGCGTGATAGAACTAGTTTCTAATAGCAACAATCATGGTTGAAAATGGCGGAGAAACTCTGGTAAGGAGAGACTTTGAAACAGAGATGTCCCTACGATGAGAGACCAGTGTCCCGGGAGGGGATAGTATGACGAGTATTTCAGAGTGTGATCTCATGATAAAGTCGCTCCAAAAAGAGTTGGACATAGTCCGGGTAAGACTAATTATTCAAAGAAAGTCACGTGATAATTTCCCGCCTCGTTATAGTTGGAGCTTGAAGCCATAGTCCTGCAACAGATACTATAAATACTGGAGGAGGAGGAGAAGGAGAGGAAAAGTGAGAGGTGATGCTTGCTGTAGGGAATACTAAGTTTTGCCAATTTTACAGACCTGGCCGTAATGATGCCACTGATGATGTCAAAGTGGCCCTGATCAACCGTGGAGCAGGCCGGATAGTAAGAGCATGCAAAGGGATATATCATAATGCTTTGCTTATACTGTATAACTAGAAAATTTGAAGTGTCAAAATTTGGCAAAGAAGTTTAGAGTTGAAAATTTTAGCAAAATTTTTTACCATGTCCATGCTGCTACAGAATACCTTTGAAATTTGGTGAATGCGGGACCTCGATTTGGCCAAATTTACCAAAATTTTGCTGCACCAATTTTTCTAACTATACTGCATGTAAAAGTTAAATTTTGGCCCATGTCCATTGAATATTTCTTTTATTTGCATATACCACACTAGGAGGTTTAATAAGTACTTGAAATTCCCGGGTAATCAGAGCTTTAATAAGTAAATTTCCGGGTAGGAGGAGGGTAAGTGATAAGTGGCCCCATGTCACTGCCTGGCCGGAATAAGTAGCACCTAGCCTCACTTATCCAGCTGCTTAAAGATAACCTGCTGTTGCTAACTGTTGCTAAGTAAACTAGTCGTTTACTTTAGTGCCCAATGGAAGTCAGTTATCAGCTCTGTCTCGGTATCTATGGCCTTATTATAATCTTTACTTGTACATGTTTCTCTCTGTTCTTGTTTATATAATACCAATTCTCATTATTTATCTCCACTCTCTCTCTCCAGTATTATCTTAATTTAGTGTCGGAGTTGAAGAAAGAAATGGCAAGGATACGCCAGCAGCTTTTCTTGCTATTGGAAAAGTACACAAGGATCCAGTTGGTGATGCTCAAACAGAAAGTAGATAAGCTGGACCGTAAGCTCCAACTGAGGATG